AACCTGGATCCCATATTGAGTGACTGAGATATAGGATAACTTTAAAAGCTGTTGGCCAAATAAGACGAGATGCAACTGTACTGGAATATGTTCGATTTCTTTATTGGTGATATCCACTCATTCCCCCTCTTTTATGGTGGTCAGAAGAATTAATATTTTGCACCCTTCCCAGCAAATATAGCACTTGGACATCTCTCTGGAAAAGTGACCAGGAAGGGGGGGGGAAGCACAACTGCAAATATATCACTTAAAAATGAGTGCATCTAGGGAAGCACAAATATATCACTTAAAAATGAGTGCATCTGTAAGAAGGAAATGGTAACATGTATGCCTGCTGCACGACTGTTTTACATTTTCAGTTTACATTTCCTTTACATTTTGTGTGCAATGCCATTTGTTTGCTTTTCTTAGGCTTCTGCTCATTTCTTTTATTTGACCTGTTTTCCTTTTAAAATGTCACCATTTATTCACGTAATATCTTTTAAAGTAGTTCGTGAGTTACACAACAAGGAAAATACATCCATTGGATATTTATCAAAGGTATTTACAATAAAAGAAGAAACCATTTCACATGGAGCTTTTAAAATGTAGTTAACCATTCACTTATAAGGAGAGCAGGATCCTAAGAAACCATGAGCAGAAGGAAATTCACAGAAAGGTGACTGCACTGGTCTCAAATCCCCCTGCAGCTCCTTCCAGGTTGGCAGCTCTCAGATTTTAGCCCTGAGAACCTAGGTTTGGTGTGCATTTTCTCAGTTGCAGTCTTTCAAGGTGAAATCTCCAAGACTGGGATGTTGCCAATTGGGAAAATTTAGGGGAACCTATTTCATGGCTTTCAGGGCATGCCATTTAAACATGCTCAGAAGCACCCTTGTTTTTGTCATTATGTTGCTTGCTATAGAGCTACATAGACTCTGTGTGTGCTGTACTGTATATGTATTGTTTGAGAATTGTTGCATAAGGCTCCATCCCCCAGTTACATCACAAGCATCTGTGTCCTGTGAACATACCGAGGGCCTTTCCTTAGGTCTCAGGCTTTGGCGCTGAAATCTCAGGGAATGGTGTCCCAAACTCCCTAGGTTGCTTTAAAAAACATCCCAACAAAGCTATTGTCCTCAATTGTGCTAGAGAACTTCATCCCATCACCAGCGTTCAGAGAAGATCCAACCACCAGTCACTCAGCTTTTGCTTGTAGACTGAGGAAGGGGCACTGTCTCGTCCTTCACCCTTGGCACGAAAATGCCATGACCTAACCTTTTTATCTCTGAGACTTTAGCCAATCTTTCTTCATGTTGCAATGCCCCAGGCTGATTCCCTGATAATTCTGGGCTTCCCAAAATCCTCAGAAGATAAATTTAAGGGATGCACAGTGCAGGGAAGAAAGACATGGGTACCATTCCTTCTGCTGTCTTCTGCTTGGACATGCCAAGATCCCTACCACAACTGTAAATTTGAAAACACAACCACATCGGAACCATGCACAACCATTTGCTGAAATCAATGGATAATGTTGCATATTTTATAAAGGTTTTTCAGATTTTTCAAAAATGTATGGATGTATAAGGAATGATCTCCAAATTGTTACTGCTGATAGTAGCAGTCAGTGAAATTGCTCCTATTCAGATATAGCTGATTATCCCGAATAATTATGGTGATATTGTCGTATGCGGCACCTGAAAAGCACAGTAGATCTGTTGCCCAAGGTATCATATGCATTACCTCAATTTAAGTTTCGTACGATTCAACCTTACGCAATGTACATGCCTTTCAATACAAACTTCCATTGATAAAAACAAAGATTACAAGACAGATTTCTAAATCAATTTTTTACTGATGTGGTAAGCTTGAACTGTGGTACTTTGGAGCCAGATGGGAAGCATTTGCCTCTGAATTTGTTGCTGGGATCCTTTCAAACAAGATAACTATTTCACTATTAGCATTATTTATTTATTGCTACTTGGCTGTCCTGTTCCATCCTTAATAGTCTTTTACAATACAAAACAAGAGGAAACCTACAGAAATGCAGGTAAAAATGAACAACTATGCTATCTTCAGCCTTGTTCCAAGCAAATAGAGCTCAGAAATGTTATCACTTTGTACTGCCAGAATCCCCCTGCCACTGTTGGTAGTTTTAGTCTTAAAAAAGTAATGGTTCTGAGCTCTGGCCATTAAGAGGCTCATGCTTGTGAAGATGAAAGAGTCCATCGCACAATCACAAGATTCAGATTCTACAGATCTGTACCATACCAGTCTGAAGATGGAGAAGCCCCAGAACAGAAACAATTTTGCATCCAAAAATTGTTCTCAACATTCATGTTTGCAAACTTTGTTAAGATGTTCAGATATTCTCCATATAGTGTCTGAATGATGGATTTAGCAGGCTGTGATATCTGATCTTTCATAGCATTGCAGATCTGCAATTAGGGTTGAATGCAGCCCTGTAACCATTTGTTAGGTGAAGGATCCCCATTGACAGCTGGGGAATGTCAATAGGGAGGCACTGGGCTTTTTATTCTTCAAGTTTCCAGTCCTTGAAATTTGTTCAAATAAAGACAGCTCTTTTTGACAAATGTGACTAGAAATTTCAATGAAGCATAGTAGAACGCTGTAACAGCTGACAGAGAATTCCTCAACCATTTACGTATATTTCTGTAACCGTTCTTGCTCAAAATTACACCCGTCACTGTTCTTCAGATGTGAATGAAATGTCATTTGGTGAATTGTCTTCCCCTTTTATATATGTTTTCCTTCCAAATATGAAAGGCTCAAAAATATGACTTTGTTTACATCTAAAGAAAGTCCACTTTCATCTGTAGTCTGTCCCTGTGTTCTAAATCTTCATGAACGAACTATGTTGGGAATGCCAATGAACTCCTAAGCTAAGCTTTCACACTGGGTTAGGTGTCTACACACTTATCTACTCTACAAGTTTAGGGAAAGACAATGAGAAAATAAACATTTCTAGGTGTGTTTGTTAACTAGGGTGACTACAGCTTGATTGCCAAAATGAAGATAAGACATCACCAAAAAGGATGATGTGGATGACAGGGGACATTTTTTTTTTTTAAAGGATGCTTTACACACAAAAAAGGGTGACATTTGCATGTGCTCATTTAAACCAATATATGCAAAGATATCACAATTAGCCATTATTACTATAATTTTATAGAAAAACACTACTGTTCACCATATTGCACAAGACTGTACTTGGTAACCACCGTGGGACACAGCACTAAGCAAAAAAAAAAAAAAAAGTAAATCAAACGAATAAATAAGACATCATGTTTAGCAACGGTTTGAAATGTTCTGTACCATGTATTTCCTGCAGTTTACTGAAAATGAAAGTGTATGGAAGGAAAATAAACAGAAATCACTGTAGTTATGCTGAAATATCTAGCTAGGAAACAACCATTTATGTCAGAGGAATGGTCTGGACAACGCTTTCAGAATGTCCTGGGACTGTCGTCATATAAGAAGTTCACACAGAATTGACATGACATGCCACATCTTTCCTGCCATTCATCAATAATTCTATCAGTGTGTGTCGTCTGTCTCCTTTCTTAGAAAATGAACACACACAAAACCCCCCACCTAATTTACTTTTAAAATGAGAGTGTCTGATTATACACGTTTACAATGGTTTACATTAAGAGGTGGGCACGAACCACCGGTTCGGATGTTTGTGCCAGTTCAGCACTTCAGACCCACAGCTATTCTGCAGATGCCCTGGTTTCTGAGTGTGTGCCCACCGGAGCACCCACAAAAGCCAGGGAACCCACAGTACAGCTCTATGTCCAAAGCATTGAACCAGGTTTCTTCCCCTTCATCCTTGGCTGAAAGTATGATAACGTCCAGCCTAACAGCTTAGAGAGCAGCTGCCAATCGGAGTTGACAATATTTGGTTAGATGGACCAGTGGGCTGCCTTGATATAAAGCAGCTTCCTATGTTCTACAGTATCTTCAGCATGCTGGTTCGGGAGAAGGCATCCAGAGGCCCCAAAATGTTGTAACAGATACACATAACGTATCTGAAGACTGCTATCATGATATTTGATAGTAGATACATAGTGCTTTTTAAAATATGAAACAACAGAAAAACCTTATGTTGAAAAGGATGCAGGATCATTTTATATACTAACGACACAATTGTCATGAGCTTTGTTGGGCCTTCTTGTTCCCTATTGTGAACTGAAAATGTGTCCTAACTCCTGCTCCTAAAACCCTCAGCATTAATATGTGAGTTGTATGTGCCAAGGACACTTCAATACTAGCCAGCAAGTGGTTGCTCTTCTAATCGAGGACCCTTAGATAGGTTTCCATGTTTTCATAATTAGGGAACTGGTGTATTGTATTTGGCAAATTCAATGCTTGGTATTTAGTACAGTATTTATTTTTACACCTGGAATTATACTGACAAGGTCTGGGAGTTGGACAGAAATTTCAATTCATTTTTAAAACCCTGAATAATAGAAATAGTGTGACTGGAAAAGTTCTTAAATATTTGAAACTTTGTGACCATTCATTTCAGTTTACCGGATGTACTTTTTAAAAAACATCCTCCTGGCATGTAGCTTCTATACTTTCCAAAGCTAATGTCTGGGGCTAGATTATGATATTTGCACAACTAGTATTTTTCTGGAAGCTTCTTTTAGAGTGGGGCATTCAACATTTCAGCTCAACCATTGCAGTCTGAATGCTTCAGTCCAGGAGAAAAAAATACATTATTATTTTGCTGCACTTATGAATTGGCTCAAAAAGAAAAGAAAACAAAAACTCCACCACAGCCATCGGATCCATACTCTGTTATCACTGCAATAGAAGAAACCTCTCTCCCTCCATTCCTGCTCTTTGTGAAGGCAGGTACTACACTCACAACTTCACTGATTTGTGGAACCTAATGTGTGTTTGGAAACTACACTATTAGAGCCTTGAATTATGTGGTTATTCATTTTATTCCTGTTACTCACAGAAAGTTGACTTTCTGTCAATCCTGCCTTCATAGGTGCTCGTGACCAGGACAGGGAACACACTTTCTCTGAAATTTTGAGGCAGGGCCTTCATCCACCTGATCCACAAGCTGTTCCTCTCTGTGAAATAAGAAATAGGCACGTGTACACACACACACACACATTATAAATACATTGTATAGCTCATATTATATATATGATATGTATATACATATTTACATCCAAACATCCCTGTATATATCTGCCTCACAACATTCACTATGTACATACTGATATCAGTCTACTCGATTCACTTTGGCAGAGTTTATGGAGAACTGGGTTGTTCTTCATGCTGTGGATGGCTGGGTGAAGCTCCTCTGGCTGGAGCTTTTAAGACTCAAGACAAAAGTGGAGGAGTTGCTTTTCTTGCTGACACTCAGATCGCACCCTTGCCGAGATTTTAAGTACCGTGAGGAGCAGCAGAGAAACCGGTGCAAGAGGTCATGGAAAAGATGACCTGTGAAAAGCATGTAGATCCAGGGATTACAGCAGCTGTTCAGACTTGCGAGGAGTGTCGTGATGATGAACGGCAGTTCTGTGGGAGAAAGAAAAATGGTAAAATGAAAAGGGTCTGGTTCTGTGGATTTTTAAGGTTGACAGACTTGCCACAGAAAAGAATCTCACCCACATCTCGCCAGTGCTCTGAAGGTGAGAGACAAACTTGGAGTGAATAAATAGGTCTAGATTTGGCTTTCCAACATTATCTCCATGTCCTACAGCATTTTCAATAATGACAAAAGCTGAAAACAAGAAAAATTATAAAAGCTGATCTAGGATGCCAGAATACAGTGACTCTGTAGCATTTGTGACAGGAGAACCAACACGATGAGGCTATGTAACCAAAACAGAAAAATTTGCACATTATCTTTAAAGTGCAAGAACTTGTCCTCTGATGGATAATGATGCCTTCACTCAAAGGTGTGCCAAACAGGTGTGCTGTCTGGATATTTTGTGTCAGGCACCTAACATGTAATCTAGTGTTATTAATGAGAGGAAAGTACTCTCACCTCTGTTTGATCTGCAAACTTGCCTGCTTACTCACTCTTCTATATATGTTCATGAATTTCAAAATGATAGGAACTATGGCCTAAGTGGTAGCAAGAAGCAAAGAGTGACAGTATGAAACAACTAATGACTCTTGGCACCACAAGAACACAGAGCATCAGGGAACAACAAAGACAACAAAATCAATCTATAGATATATGGCCTCTCCTTTGGAAATCCCCTGGCTCTGGTTCCCAAAACTGACATCCAACTAAAGTTGCTAAGTCAGCAATATCCTACTACATGAGATTTCAATGCCAGATCATGGGATTGGGGACAAAGATCATGGGATTGGGGGTTTCAGACATCACAGAAGGAGGCTTCTTTTGATGTCACTCAGGTAGGGTAGCAAGATGGTGCAGAAGTGTGCTAAAACAGCTTCTTGGTCAACTATTTCTCAAAATGGGCCCTGCGCTGGTGATGCAAGGCCATCTGTAACAGGATGAGTCAGAACATGGTGCTTTCTTGGGCCCAGTTACATGCACTCAGCATTTTGTCTGCACCATGTCAGCATACCAAAAAGTCAGATGCAAGGGAAGGGAATGAAGGTGAGAACTGACTTGATAGGCACAGTTACATACACCCACCAGCTCTTTCTTCTGCCCAGCACCCTTCCCTTGTTCTGGCTTTTTGATGAGCTGACTTTCTGTAGAGAAAGCACATGTATAAATGTCTTTACACAGTGTCTGTATGCTGTGGTGCCAACTGGAAATAGTTGGAGAGATGGGTGCCCAGCTTTTTAAACCACTTCATGTTAAAAAATATCTGCATCCATTATACTTCACCATGAAATTGGCCACACTACCTAGAGATTCAGAGAAGGAGGGCCATTCCCTGAAATTTCAGCTGGTGCCCTAGAGACCAGGAAATCCTAGGTCTTATTCCGATATGCAGCCTTAGCAAGCGCACAGTAGGGTATTGTATAAACAACCCACATTAAATAATAAGATGATGAACCAAAAACCTGTATTTGAATAGCCCTGCAATAAACTTTTACTGCAACGCCAAAACAATGTTTATACAATATCTCAGAATATATGACTTATTTGTTTGCTTGCAGTGCAGTAACAGTATAAAATCACTAACAAGCAATTACAGGATGAACCCTTTCTACAGTTTAATGTTCAAGGAAAGCAGGCCTCTTTGAAACACTATATATGCATCCCAGAGAGAGAAAAATTTAAAAAGCAAAAGAAGGAATGTATTCGTGAAGGCTTTCATGGCCGGGATCTACTGGTGGTTGTGGGTTTTACGGGCTTTTTAGCCGTGTTCTGAAGGTTGTTCTTCCTAACATTTTTGCCAGTATCTGTGGCCGGCATCTTCAGAGGACAAGAGTAGACCAGAGTACAGAGTGCTACTCCTGTCCTCTGAGGATGCCGGCCACAGAGACTGGCAAAACATTAGGAAGAGCAACCTTCAGAACACGGCCAAAGGGCCCAAAAAAATCCACAACAACCATCAAAAGAAGGAACGTCCTTGTCCATGACAAAAGACAAAAGCTGTTCTCACAGCTATAAATACTATCCAACAAACACCAACAGGCATGGACAGAGTTCCTACTCCAGTCCTCTGAAGATGCCGGCCACAGAGACTGGCGAAACGTCAGGAAGAACAACTTTCAGAACATGGCCATAGAGCCTGAAAAATCCACGACAACCATTAGATCCCGGCCGTGAAAGCCTTTGTGAATACATTTATTTTCTTTGATCATGTTGGAAGCACCACTGAACAATTTATAAATATAGCAGATTCCGCACACAGACCCTGTAACAGGCAAGATTGAGGGTGTTTGGGGCAGCTAACATCAAGTCTTCCATGGTACACACTGAGGGACAGAGGTGTGAAGTTGCCTGTTCTCCACACTCACAAAGAACTGTTCAACACTCAATACACAGATTTAAAAAAACAACAACAACAGTGGAGATATAATGAAAGTAAATTCCTCACGCCTTTAAGCAATTGCCCAGGTCCGAGATTTCAAAAACTGCATTAAAGCTAAAGGTTTCTAACAACAGAAGGAAGTGATTGTATGTAAGTAAAATCTACTCACACAACAAAAAGGAAAGAGCCTTGTAAAAATTATTTTCAATTTTAAGAAAACAGCTTATCTGGCCATTGACAAAACACCAAAAAGGAAGACATGCATCACCAACGGAAAGGACAAAACACTGCTGTCAAGTTGCCTCCTACATATGGCTACCCAAATGTTTTCAAGGTAGGTGAGCAGGGATTTGAACTCAAGACTCCCAAGTCTTGGTCTGACACCGCAGTCACTATGCTTCAACCTATTTATACCGAGTACAAAATTAAAAGTTATTTTTAATCATTTAAACAAAATTACAGTGCTTCTCATCCAAGGACTGTGACAAAATGACTTGTATGCCTTCTGAGGCTGTTGTCCAGGTGTTGATCACTGCAGGTGTGCACTGCAATCTCCCCCCTTTATGATTTTTTAAATCTTTAAATCAGATATGGGCTGGCCAGCCCTTCAAATGAAGGATGACTTTGCACAAGAAGAAGGCTGTCTGGATCAGTCCACATTAGCAATTGACGGACAAGGCTTTTGTAAAGACAATGGCTCTTAACTACCCTTCAAGACCAAACCACTCCTAAGTTACATTGTATTACAACAGGGATAGCTTGCAAAAATAGGCTTTTCATCCTGTGAGGCCACTATATCATATTTATAAACTGTAAATGAGAATTTGGCCATTTAGTGACCGGGTGGAGGACTATGTTCTTTAAGTGAAGTGTTTTCATTTCCCTTAATATGTGAAAAAAGCAACATGTATATGCAGGGTCACCATTGTTCTGGAGCCAGATCTGCTTTGTTTGCAGGGGCATGCCTTTTCAATATGTATAAGTTGCCCTTCTGCTTGTTTCATGGTGACACAGGAGTGTGACATTTGAGTCCCGAAGCTCTGAAATTTACTCAGACAGGCGGATGGATAGATAGTTATTAATGTTTCAGTGACCCATAAGAGGATGGCTTTTCATCGCATTGTTGCTTGACCCAGCAGAAACGGATATACACAGCTCATGCATTTTCATTAGTATGGCAATGATAACTAACTTCAGTCAGTTACATAACAAAGGAAAACAGCACAATAACTGGACAAATATAATGTTAACAATGCTGAACCAAATTCATAACCGGTTACTTCTCTTTACCAAAGTTTATGCATGTTTTATAGTGAATGTATTAAGTAATATTTACAGGTTATCAGAAATCTTCCACACATATACACTGCTATAAGCAGACTTCTGCACAAAAGGGCTTTTTAGAAATATTTAATATCATGTCAGTCAATATTGGTGAATATAAATATTTCCAGAAGGAGCAAATGCCAAGCTACTTTGAACGACAATGTTATAGTGTTCCACTCTTCTGTCTGAGGAAGTGGACTGGTTCCATGAAAGCTCACATTAAAATATAGCATATTAGGCCAAATCCAAAGATTGCACATGCCTACTTCTTCCAAAGCTAAAATATAGCAGTCAAAATCCAAAGATTGCACAGATTAACACAGCTACTTCTTCCAAAGCTAAAATATAGCAGTTTGTCTTTAAGGTGCCATAATGTTTTTTGCCTTTTTTATTTATTTATTTTGTAAAATTTTTGGTTTTGCCTGATACATTTGCACAGACTAACATGGTGACCTCTTCTAAAACATTCTGATACATTAGCACAGACTAACATGGTGACCTCTTCTAAAACAGGGTGTTTGAAGCTGTTATGATTATGGCCGTCAGGTTTATTTCCAAATCATTGGATAACTGTGGCAGGGAGGCAATGCGATAGTGTGAGACGTAGAAAACTTCATGTGGAAAAAAGGTACAGCACAGCATAGACCATTGATCAATGTTTTTGCATTCTGTGGGCCCTTCAAACACCCTCCCCCTCCCCCCAAATTCTTGGCAAAAAAATTTTTTGGCAAAATTTAAGCTTTCTGAGCATTTTACATAAAGAAAAACCTTTATTTAAATGGAAATAAATGGACCTCTGATTTTGTCCCTTACTCCGCCCATGTTGATGGCATCCATGCAGTGAGTGACGTCTAGTTCTGTCTTCCTCCCTTTTTGCATTTTTTAGATCCATGGATCCCCAGAGTGTCACAAAAACTGACAATTGCCTTCAAACTGCCCCATTCCCATTGCAAAACTTAATTTTCTGTTCTAAAGGTTGAAAAGAGCAGATATAATGAAATAGTTAAGAATTAGGAATAGCGTCACCCTAAAGATGCACCCTAAATGTACTAGGGATGTGCATTTTTTTTTCTTGTACTATACTAAAAATTACATAATTTTCCTTTTTGGGAGTCCCATCTGCAGGACCCAATCCATACAGACACTTAAATTCTGCTCACCTGGAAAGAAAGCGCAAGTGCCAAGCTTCATGCCTTGGATAGACTTTGAAAGGGGGACTTCACGTCAACCATTAGGGCAGCTTCCTTTTCAAACAGGAAGGTAGATCTAGCCAAGGCAAGAAGT